TTATTGGGGAAAGTGGGTTGAGGTGATTTTGAAATGGGGTTTTCTTCTAATGGGTGAATTTTGAAGATTCACCATGTAATGATCATTGGGTTTTTTTTTTTTTTTTTTTTTTTTTTTTCATTTGCTCTTTCTGGGTGGAGATGTTTTTTCTTTCAATTTTGTTCAGGTGTCAATCCAATTTTTACTGAGATCTTTCCTTACTGTTTGTAATTGGGCAGGTGCGTTCCATACAGATACAAGAAACAACCAGCCTCCATTGAAGATTTAGAAGTTCTTCTGATTAGTTCACAGAATGGTCATTCTATGTTGTTTCCTAAGGTACTAAAAGTCCCTGTTTTTCTGTGGTTCTGTTTCCTCTCTGGTTTTTACAACTTATCACTGATATTTTTCATCCTCCATTGTATTATAGGGCGGTTGGGAAAAAGATGAATGCACCATGGAACAGGCACTTTCTCGAGAGACCATAGAGGAAGCTGGTGTGATTGGCAGTATCGAAGTAAGCAGCATACCATGAAACATTCTAGTCAGCTGCCTGCTCATCGATTGTTGTTCCATTTTGTGATTTTAACGTTGTAAATGGGATGTCTTTGCAGTGTAAATTAGGCAAATGGGGGTACAACAGCAAGAGAAAAAGCAAAGGTGTATGCCATGAATGTTGCATGTTTTCTTTGCATGTTGAGCGAGAATTAGAAAGTTGGCCAGAGATGAACTTCCGCAAACGAAAATGGGTATGTATAGATGCAACATTATATAGTTGTGAACAACAATGGTCATATAAAATATTATCAGAGAGTAATTATCTAAATTTATGTCTTGTTGTGTAATATATGTAGGTTACTGTGGCTGAAGCTAAAGAAGAATGTCACGTTTTGTGGATGAAGGAAGCCTTAGATAAGTTTGTTAGTTATCAAACGAATGAATTGAGAAACAGCCGAACAATGGTTGCCTAATTTCTTGAATCTGTGAGATTAGAACATTAGAAGGATAGGTGAAGGAAAAGCAAGTAGGCATGAGAGATTCAGAATCCCATTAGCGACAGAAATGGAAATTGAGGGGATATGTAGCGGCCCTGTTCATCCGGAGGATGTTGAGTCTTGGTTATGATGGAAGGATGAATCCATTCAAAACCAAGAAAGCTTAGAAGTCTGGTAACTGTACAAAATTTCGAATATTTTTGCTCTTCTGATTCCTTTTGAAGTGTAGAAATATTGATTCATTCTTTCAAGAGGAATAAAATTCTGATAAGTCTTTCTTTCCATTTACTGGCCATTTTCTTGGACCAATGTCCTGCAGCTCCTGTTCTGGCTATAGATTACATTCATGTAGTAGCACAAGTGCAAAAGGCTTAATTGCTGTTATTGCCAAGTTTTATCATTTTTCAGGGTTATTGAAATAATATAACAGACGATGTGTGTTAGTACTTTGTAACAGTCACAGATAATCTAAAGATTAACCAAAGAAAGTGAAATTTGATGCCTGTACAATAGAAACGTTAGCCAATTAGTACATGTTACTGGGTGCTTGGGCAGCCTTAAATAAATGAAAATAAAAGTTTTAACTCGGTAACTTTGTTTAAAATGATAATTTTATCAGTTTTAAAACCATTTCCATTCAATCCTATTTCCAAGATGCATGTATGCATTCTGAAAAGAGAGTCCTGTCTTGCAGTCCAATCCAAATTGTAAAACAAAAACAGTTAGATAACAAGTTTTGTTTTATGGTCTAATACAGTTTGAGGGGCGTTTGTTTATGCGTTTAGGAGGCAATAGCTGATAGATGTTGGCTCTAAACAGTTATTTAAAGGTGTTTGGGTAAGTTTTTTTTTTTATCAATGAATGTGATGATCTAAACGCTACTGAAAATCTAAACAGCTACAAAAATGAACAGCTACTAAAGTTAATTGTTTGAGTTAAACACTGTTTTTATTTTTATTTTTTTACTTTTTTATTTGTACTAATTTACCTTAATAATATTCCTAAGATCTCTACAACAACCTTTCACAACTAATCTACCCACTATTTCAAAATCTATGGCCTCCTGAAATTCACTTGGCGGGACTATATTCAAGCACCACCAACCCCTTCCCCATTTCTCCCTTTCCTTTAGATGTGATAAATTGCCTATGTTAAAAAAAAAAACATCTACCCACTGTTCCAAATACTGTCCTTAATTTTTGAAAAAATTGTGAAAATTTGTTGAGAAAGAGGGAGAAGAAGATGAGAGCTGAGAATCAAGGGAAACTGCTTTGGAAAATTAGTGATTGTGAGTTCTGATCGACATGAAACGGATCAAGGAAAGATCAATGTACTCCAGCAAAGAGAAGCAATTGGTGGGGAGAGAAAACAAAGGATCGAGGAGGGGAAGATAAAAGATGAGTAACGGATTTGCTAGAGATAAAGAAAAGAAAATTAAATATAATCCCATCTAAACCCCTGAAAAATAAGATACAATGCACCTAAAGATAAATA